GAACACCACTTTCATCATTATTGATAGGTTTTTACATAGAGCAACACGGGTCATCGGCGGACCAGAGGGGAGTATTCATAGCGTCTTTTTTCCGGATACAAAATTGTCTGTATTTTTTGCGGAGGAAATCTCCGCACACGAAAACAATAACTAAATAAAAAAATAAACTAACAGTTCCACATACACGTATTGATATATTATAACAGTATCACTCGGTGACAGCGATAATTCGGACACAGATTCAGATCAGTCGCTCGACCGATCCGCATATTGTATGATAGCGAACGGCCTGTATTGGTAAGCAAATCCGAAAAACACCGCCGTTGTCAGCAATAATGTGATTAAAAGTTAGTTTCATATATGAAAGGCTTAAGCTGCAACTAGTTTTATTGTATGGACAGGATCGCGTGGACCTACATGTGGCTACTCCCTCTGTCCGCCGGTGGCCCATGTTACTCTATGGGTTTTTGGGACAAATTGGTTATTTAATTGATATTTCGTTCAATAAATTCATTTCCTATGCAAATTAAATGTCTTATTACTACAATAAGTATTTAGATACGAGTGTCTAAATTTGAGACAATGCGCTGACTTTTGACCTACTATTACATTCGCTTGTGCACCAAATTGTTGCGCCCTCTTTTCTGCCAGGGAGGGTCGCGTTCGTATACGACTTAGAGATCTCTCGTCATATCGGTAAGCCAATCCATAAAGGCGGTGTTTAGTGGGTAAAAGTCTCCAAATAACCACGCAGCCGGCTGCGTGGCATGCTGAGCATTCACCGCCTCCCTTCCCCGCATGCTTCGGGCGCAAAAAAAAAAACAAATTGTATTCAAGAAAATTTTCTATTGTCTTAATAAATAAATACTTAGAACGTAGACGTATTTCAAAAGAGTAGAGTCTTAAAGTTTAAGGTCACTTTTTGTACGACGCTCACAAAATTATAATTGCTCGTAGAATAACAAATGTTATGTTTTTTCTTACTTTACATCGTAAGAGCACGTACAAAATGAAGTTTAATAAAACTCATTCTATGTAGCCTTTTTCGTTCTAATTTTTCGTTGTAGAGCCATATTGCAGCTATATTATAGCTGTTGCAGCACAAATGGGTCGGCTCGACCGGGGAAGGACCACGCTCTCACAGCATACCAGCATAAAATAGCTGCTAAATACCACTGCGTTTCGAATGGTGAGTGTAGAGGATCGGTGACCCTTTTAATTGGATACGAGGCATTCCATATTAATTGTCAGGGGTGTCAATGCATCTGTATTTTTACTTCTAATTGAGAATATATGGCTGTCTGTGCTGACGCCAGATGTCTGTGGGTCACATCATCCAATTACCATAAGGTGGACAGTGTGAGCGCACACGAGCGTTTGTCACACTTATTCTAAATTTTACGTAATTATATAAAAAATGTAAAACGTTAAAAAGAAGCTGTTTTTATTGAAACTCACATTAGTTAAAAAATAAAGAAATTAATAGCATCATAAAATTTGACGACAATTTAAAAAAGATTTAGGATGCTTTCTCTCTTTTCACTAAATGGCAATAGAAAGAGACAAGCTTAGACTATAGATATAATCGGTACTTAATTTAAGTCAATGAAAACCTTTTCTTAGGGTAGTCGTAAGTATATACTATCTGTAATTAAGCAGTAGTCCACCACTGCTGAACATAGGCATGCCACATAAAGGGCATACTTGCCATAGTTGCCACGCTTAGCTGATGGATTGGCAACTTCAGTATTTTTTTCTATTTCTAGTTGTTATCAGGAAGACGCTGCCGCCCATCTCTTGCTACACCAACGGGATGATATGGAGTGCTGGCATAGTAAAAACAGAATAGTAGTCCATCTTCTAAGAAATGTACCAAACGCCGGTAATATGTGTGCGTGCTTGTCACGTGCCAGTAGGGACTCGCACGCACAAGCCACATCACGCACACAACGACACTTGCTAAGTCGGGAAGATCGGGCCGAGTCGGGAACGTTCACCGCCGCGCTCCGCGATCACCTTTGTTTGAGACTTTGTTGAATTTTAATAAATTTTTGCTAGCAGTCTTTTCTTCGTTTTCTTTTCTCTTTTTGTGAAATACATTAATATACGCATTTGTTTTTTTCGTTTGTTTGAACATTAGTTTTATTAATAGTTCTTGTTACTATATTTATACATAGATATAGTAACGCACCCTCCTCATAAGTACATTATTACCATATTTAAACAAAAAGGCAGTGACAATGAAAACCCTGCAACTGAGGCATTTAAGTCTCGCGCGGTGCGGGAGTTATCCTACCATTCTGCTTTTACTATGGTACTGGGTATTCTTACTTCTACTACACCGCCACTACACGGTACTGCATAAATATTAATCATCACGCGACACAAAATCACAAAATATCCCATCGAATTTTAAGTCTCAATGATCTTCCGTTATCTACTTGACAAGAATAGGTAGTATCTTCCTTGGACATCAAGATGCCTTACTTGTAGCTAAAAGAAGTTCGTGTACTTATAACTACGACAATAGACAATCAACATTTTCAAGTAAAGGACTTCTCTATAAATCGAATTTTTCTTCAGTATCTATTGACTTATCGCTGATATAAATATATTATCTTAATTCTAAAGTGCGTAAATCAGTTAGTGTGCATATTAATTAGTTAATCTGCATATAACCTGTCTGAATCCGGTAAAATGTAAAAAAAAATGTTTCAGTTCATATGTACAGAATTCCTAGGTAATCTGCGGACTAAGACTAAGAACTTAGCTCTCGTTTATACAAGAGTTATACAGTAGGTTAAGGTACACCTAGCAAAGATACATTATAATGATATAAAATATAATATTGAGAGATTTAAATTTTTTAATTTCAAAAATTCTAAAAGTATAATTCAAAAGTAGTTTTGTATATAATTCTTGGTCAAAATCACCATAATCGAATATTTTTGCAGTTAAAAGTGATGTTGACCAACGTTCTTAGTCAAAACTACTTTTGACCCCAAACATATAATTATTTGCAATATGATCAGCTCTTTCTTTCGCTATTTAACAGTGTAGCATAAAGTAAAATTTCGCGCATTAACGATCGCACCCGATAATCTGCAGATTATCTAACTAATGCGGACTTTAACGCAGGAGTTTCATTACAATCGGGTTAGACATTTCGAAGATCAGCCCGGGCAGTAAGACAGACACACATTTTAAAAATGGTTGTTTATGTCTTTATAGTAATAAAGTATAAAAGTGAGTAATTAGAATATTGCACACAAACACTTCAATTTCATGTATATGTGTAGAAAGTGCCATTTAGTTTTATCAACAGAATAATTAAATAATGAAAGTCAAAATCGTAAAATTAAAATTTTATTGACTTTCTTGAGAGCCACCAATACTTAGTTATGCTCGGATCTAGACATTTTATAGCATTGGTTGATAAACAAGCACACAGTCCACCTGATGGTAAGTGAATGCTGTGGCCCATAGACATCCACATTTATCTTCAACTAGGATCAAAATACAAATGCGTTGTCACCCCTGAGGGCTAAGATGGAATGCCTCGATTCCAGTAAAAAGGGTCACCTATTAACCACACACAAAATATGAAACACATATTTTGTGTGTGGTGATACCAGCGTAAAATAGCAGAATTACGCTGCTATTTTACGCTGGTATCGTCCTACCCATACAATACCTATCTCTGGCGTAAAGGAAAGTTATGCTGTAATCACAGTCTAGACCTTATTTTTTTATAGTTGGGTGTTTTGAAATTAAAGATATTTCTATACGTTTGAACAACGATTCCACAGAAACCACAGGGTTTTTGTTACATATTATGTACTGACTGAATATTACCTTAACCGGTCAATTCAACCATTAGTTATACGATCTGAAGTTACACTAACATTAGGTTACACTGACTGACGTACCAGCGATTAATATATTTGAGGACATGTAAAGGCCTTCAACACCTCACGTCGACACCCGTTAACACTTCATTTCCTTAAAACCCTCTCATTAATGAGAGCCAATCTGGATCCACACCCATACAACATGTAACATAATTAACGCACATCCTGGAAGTAGTTTGTTCAGAATCGCTTACTGAATCGATTTCTATCATTTTTAATATAGATAATTTTTTATCCCAAAAATAATTAAAACTACGTAAATTACAGTCACACTAAATCTGTACAGTCAAAACAAACTGAAATGGACCGTAACTTAAGGATATAAGACTTATAAGAGTACAGTTTTATTTGTATTATTACTAATTCTGCCATTCAATAAAAATAAAGAAAAATGAACTTTATTTCAAGCACGTTAAAGTCTTTGCGTTCGTGGATTTGTACTGTGACCACAACATTCTTCCGGAATTAGTATAACTAATATAATAATGTGCATTTTACTAAAACAGTGTATTTATTTATAACATAATATACTAATTGGGGTGTCTGAGGGTGTGGGTTAATTACGTTACATATTGTATATACGTGTTACTTTACTTTTAAGTAACACTCATATTAATTGCCTGCAAACAAGTGAATTCAAATGGCAACTTCAGAACGTTATTATAACTAATGTAACTCTTCCATACGTGGTAGAGTTACTCTGCATTATGGTTGTAGCATGAATGGCTAGGCCCGACCGGGGAAGGACCTCGCTCTCACAAAATGCTAAGTAAAAATAGGAGTGTTCAGCTGCTGTTTCGTATGGTGAGTGTAGAGAACCGGGGACACTTTTTCCATCTTAATTCCCAGGGGCGACAACGCATTTGCATTTTGATTCTTATGGAGATTACATATAGATGTCTTTGGGCCACAGTGTCCACTTAATCAGGAGGACTGTGTGCTCGTTTGTCACCATTATTATATAAAACTTAAAGTGGTAACCGTGGTCACAATTTAAACTATACTATTAAACTTTATCTGTGTCAGAATCTTTTGAATATTTTCACCACGAGGTATTCGTGAGCGACAGAGTGTCGTATCATGCATTACCTGCTGACACTGGCTCATAAGCTTGATCATCTGCGGGAAGGTGACTTCGTACGGCCGGTTGATCCTGCTCAGCTGTCGGAGGAGGCGGCTCGTGTCATCCTCATCACTGGAAAGGAGAAAAGCATATTAAGTACGAGTAGTCGGACAAAAATAATGATAAATGAAGTATACTGCCGAAGTTACCAACATTTTCACCAGATGTTGGATAAGACTTTTCTACATGGTATAGCCACGCTGTAGCTTTACTATGGTTGAATCTCGTGAATATAGTTGAATGAGTCGACTCGAACGGGGTAGGACCACGCCCTCACAGAATACCAGCGTAAAATAGCAGCTTAATGCTGCTGGACTTCGTATGTTGAGTATAGAGAACCGAAGACTCTGTTTACTGGAAACGGGGCATTTCTTCTCAGTCCTCAGGAGTGACATCGTATTTGCATTTTGATTCTTAATTGCGAATAAATTTAGATATCCACGGGCCAGAGCATCCAATTACCATCAGGTGGACTGTTTGCTCGTTTGTCACCTTATACTATTAAAAAACACAAGGGGATGGGCTCTTTGATAGCACTGATTTTCCGTTGCACAAATTCAAGGTCAAGCACCTTGAATTTATGCAAAGGTGTAATTGAGGATAGATGTAGATGTCTATTGGGCCTCAGCATCCATTGGACATCAAGTGGACTGTGTGCTCGTTAGTCACCATTATTCTAATAAAGAGAAATTCTGTGGCTACACTAGGTAACATAGTAAGGCGATCCGTTTCACTCTCGCTTTCAAGAGCAGTTCGCTGTGTCACGAACGGACAACACACGCGATGAAACCAGTCTGCCGGATGATCGGAGAAAGTGAAGTCGCTACATGAGTCTGTTGCGTAACCGCGGCCACGAACTCTGCACGGTGCTGGGTCAATGGAATTAGGACAATTCACAGAAAACTAAACTAAAATTCTCAGAGAGGATCATTGCATGTAAGTCGTCGGAATTGACCCTATCAAATAATGTCAAGTGCTTGCTATTAACAAAAAAAAACAATTACTAATGGCGTTTACGTTTTATTGGTTAACATGGGCATTGGCGTAGCTATCTCTAGACGAATGGAGCTGAGGAAGCTTTCGGCAAAGCTGAGTGCTTGCCTTCGATAATACCTGAAAACATCTAGATAGATTTTTGATTTTTTGGCACATTCTGTATAGTGCCCTCTTACGACACAAACGGGCGAAACGGGGACGAAAATCCACTAGTCTAATGGACTAGTGGATTTTCTTCTGTGGAGATTCTCTTTCGCCGACGCCACCACACAGACTATGTACATAACATATATTATGTATGAATTGATGGTTTTTATAATTCTTCATTATCACCATCATTACAGCCTTTTACAAGTTCACTGTTGAATATAGGACTCCGACTAAGAATTCCACAAACCACGATCCAACCGTTTGGTTAGCGTATGCCGATGAAACATAATGCTAGTTGAAAAGCCTGCCTGTCAGTTTTAGTTTTCCTGTCTTCTTTTACGGCACCCACGGGAAAATAATGAAAATGATCAACGTTTCCGTGTAATAGAAGAACTTTTAAACATTTGACCATATATCAAGATATTATAGAAGCTGAATTACACATATCTGTTAATTTTGAGTGTTATTGACGTATTTTACGTGGTAGAGCCACGCTGCAGCTATATTATGGTTGTAGCACGAATGGGTCGGCTCGACCGGGGAAGGACCATGATCCAGAGAATATCAGCGTAAAATAGCAGCTTATTGCTGTTGTGTATCGTGCGGTGAGTGTAGAGAACCGAAGACCCTTTTTAACACACGGGTGACAACGCATCCGCATTTTGATTCATAATCGAGGATAGATGTAGATGTCTATGGGCCACAGCAACCACTTACCATCAGGTGGACTGTGTGCTCGTTTGTCACCCTATCCTATAAAAAGAACAGTATACACCCAGTGCCCAAGTGTATACGCAAGCACAGGTGCACTCTCTATTCCCTCACTTTCATAATACGATGAGACGGTAAACCGACACGACCGGAGAGAGATCAGGCGCAGGACCAACGGCTTTACGTGTTTTCCGAGGCACTTGGGTGAGACACCGCCAACTTCCTGACTCCGGGCAGCTACTGAGAATTTCTTGACAGAAAAACTCAATAATTGATTTTTTGGCCCGGCCCGGGATTCGAACCCAGGACCTCATGATCAGCAGTCGCACTACTAAAACCACTAGACCATCGAGGCAGTCTTTTAATGTAATACCTTAGCTGCGTTATGACAAAAATGGGTTTGTAATCATTTTCAGGTTTAACTAGAATAGTTTGAATAAAGAAGTCCCGCGGAAAATAATTAAACTAAAGTAAAATATTATGGACTTAGACAACAAATGTCAAGTTTTGCAAATACTTTAGAGCCGTGGCTAAGGGACTATTGTAAAAAAATCCTTCTTAAATTAAAGCCTCATCCCGAGACTATCAGCAAACCACGTTTTGTAAAAAGTTTGTACAACCATTCTTATTGTATAATTTACTTTGCAAATGAAGTCCCGCTAGATGTCTTGATGGTTCTTCCCAGGACAGATGTTTTTTCCCAACCAGTGGTAAAAGTAAAAAATTACTTTCAATAAGAATTACGTGTAATCCATATTGAATAAAAAATTATTCTATTCTAAGACATCATAGGCCTAGGAATAAGGGGTTAAAACCTAATAAATATTTCAATGCGTAAGCGCCACATTTGCTAAAGGCTTTGCATAATTGTCAGCCTTACGTGTACTATTATTTTAACTGGTGTAAACATATTAGCGGTTATCAGCTGTGAAAATATTGTTCTTATAAATAATTAAAATATTTATGATGACGGTAAGGGTGGTACTCCAACATTCAAACCTAACCGGCCATTCACTTCACACTCCTTGGCTGTGTTGGTTACTTTGGTTCTACTGCGGATATCCTCCCTTAAGTCTACCACCCAGAGAAAACCCAAGCATAGCCCTTTCCACAGCTCGCAGAGCTACCTCGAACTTTCTGATACGGCCATCAGTGAAGGACCACGCCTTAGATCCATAAGTACCATCACTGGCAACACGCACTTGATGTACAATCTTATTTTCAATATCATAGAGGTATATTAGAGGTATACCTGACGAGATGTGTTGTAATCGTTTTTACAGCATTCCTAATATTTAAAAAAAATCGCGAACGCTGCCCAGCCGAGTTGAATCCATTAATTGATCTTTTAGTCGAAGTCGGACTTACCTAGTCGGACTTTTGTCCCAGATAAACATTCTCGTCAACAACTTTGAGCTTAGTGCTCCCAACAACTACCGGCAAAGGTGTAACAGAAACAGAAACAGAACTAAACTTTTTTATTCAATGTAGATTATAAGCAATACATATTGAAAGTCAATTTTTTCATTTACCACTGGTTCGCAAAAAAAAACCTCTGTCCTGGGAAGAACCAGCAAGAAACCCAGCGGTACATTTTTTTTTTCAAATAATAGCTTAAAATCACGTTTACAATTAACAACACAACACAAATTAAAAATAGCTTGGTAGCGATCACCCTTCCCAGGGGTTACTATCATCCATAAATTCCTTAATATTATAATAACCCTTTTTATACAAACTTAGTTTAATAAAATTTTTGAACTTTGCGTATGACAAATTTTGTATATTTTTTGGGATTTTGTTGTAAAAGCGTATACATCGCCCCAAGAATGAATTACTGACTCGGTGGAGTCGAGTAACTGGTACTACTAGCTTGTGTCTGTTCCTAGTATTTACAGAATGAATATCACTTATTTTTGCAAAACTACGTTTATTCTTGTGTACGTACATTACATTTTCATAAATATATTGAGAGGCCAGAGTTAATATATTAATTTCCTTAAATTTTTGTATCAGTGACTCTTTTGGTTTTAAATTATATATTGCTCTAATGGCTCTCTTCTGTAAAATAAATATAATTTCAGTGTCAGTCGCGTGTCCCCATAGCAAAATACCATACGACATAATGCTATGGAAATAACTAAAGTAAACTATTCTTTCTGTTTCAACACTGGTAAGAGTTATAATCTTTTTTACAGCATATGCTGCAGAACTAAGTCTGCTAGCTAGATTTGATATATGGGGGAGCCATTGAAGCTTTGCGGCTAGTGTGATTCCAAGAAAAATGGTGGTATCAACAAGACTCGGTTCTTCCCCATTTAAAATTACATTCGTATTAACATGTTTGACATTAGGAGTTACGAATTTCATACATTTAGTTTTAGTTCCATTTAAATGCAAATTATTAACATTAAACCAATTGACTACCTTAGCTATAGCATTATTTACTTCGTCGTAATTTAATAACTGTCGTTTTAATTTGAAAATTAATGAAGTATCATCAGCAAATAATACTATATCATGGTTATCCCCTACTATGTAAGGCAAGTCATTAATATATACAAGAAACAGAAAGGGACCGAGAATTGAGCCCTGAGGCACGCCCATTTGTACAGTTGACCCGTAAGAACTCATACTATTAATTACAACTTTTTGCGTTCTGTCACTTAAATACGAAATAATTAATATAAGAGCACCACTTCTTACACCGTAGTGTTGAAGTTTCCTGATTATTGTTTCATGGTGAACACAATCGAAGGCCTTGGATAGGTCACAGAATATACCCAAGGCATCCTGTGAATTCTCCCATGCATTAAAGATATATTTAATAAGCTCAACACCAGCATCAGTTGTTGAGCGACCCCTTGTGAAACCGAATTGATTTTTATGAAGTAAAATATTTACATTAAAAAAATTTAACATTTGATCAAGAATAATTTTTTCAAAAATTTTACTAAGTGTTGGCAGTATAGAAATAGGTCTAAAATTAGCGGGGTCCAATGTACTGCCAGATTTAAATAAAGGTATTACTTTACTATGCTTCATTAATCAGGAAACACACCAGATTTGATAATAGTATTAAAAATAATAGATAGTTGAGGTGCGATTGCATCTATTATAGACGCAATAACTTTAACGGAAATCCCCCACAGATCGGCGGTTTTCCTAATATCAATAGTCTTAAAATATTTTAGAATATCTTTTGATGACACTTT